GGGACTAAAACGTTCGGAAGATGTATCTGTGATCTTGATTGATCTATTAATGCAAATTTCCCAGCCTGTTGTGGATAAAGCATGATTTTTCTGCTCAAGTGACTTAGAGAAAGACATGYATTAGTACCATAGGGCTCAACAATTAGAGTATCACCAAATGGATGTCTCAACTCAATGCCTTCACTGTCTCTGCATGTTCTGTAAAAGTCACCCATTATTACTGGAATGTATTGTTGATGGATATTCAGCAAATAGAAATGCAAAATTTTGGTAACTGTCTCATTTAATATTTCTCTGTACATAGGAGTCATATTCTAAACACTGCTTCGTCTACGTTTGTATATGTTTTATTTTCCGAGMTTTCGGATCGTTCGATCCATCATCAGGGACTAGTGATACAAATGAATTAACTAGCRGTTGAAAAAACTAAACACATCACGAAAATGCTAAATATAATAGAGCGCGCTACAGATGCGCGCGCACACAAGCTAAGAAAATTATTTTTGAGTTAAAATGGGACGATATACGTCTGGTAACAAGCGTCCACAGTCTCTATTAAACAAAACATTATTGTTCTTAGATATGAACCATGCCTCCGTCCATCTACGCTTATTCCTTCGACTTTCTGTAGCTAAGATCTTTATGTCATCCCAGGCAATGTCATGGTCGTTGCTGTTTGCATGGTCAGATAAGGCGTCTTTTCTAATCTGACGCAAGCTTCATGTTCTTTGGTTCGTGTCCCCAATGCCCTCCCTGTCTCTCCTATGTAAGAAACAGCACAGTCCTTACAGGGGATATTGTATACAACGCCAGTTCTTTTGCTCATGGGTATCGTATCTTTATCTGTCTCATTATTACCCAATTTTCCTATGATATCATCCCCAATTTGATAGACTGTTTCAGAGAAAGCACCAGCAACAGTTGGCACAAATGTACTTTTGCATGTCTCCGCCATACATAAATGTTGCTGCATGTTTTCATTAAAACCAGAGTTTTGCAGACACGCACAGATTGCTAGTATCTCTTCTCTGGACAACATGTGGTTGTTGCCCTTCCCAACTAAGATCCCAATCTGTGCTCTAGCATTGTGATCTCTGTCTGCCTCACTTAACTTGASCAGTTCTCTTGCAGCTTCAATAGATGTTGCAACCATCTAAAACAAGATAAGCAATTAACACAAATTAATAYCTCTCAGCTACAAATCAATCACTAGCTCAAGCTTATAAATTTATATTCATTTGCTCAGTTTTATCAAGAGTAAGAACCCTCCAAGGTGGACATGGACCATTTTTAAATGTTTTGTAGACGTCATAGGAAATCATTATAAAGTTTGTTCCTTGGAATCTTACTGACTTTCAGCCAAATAATTTGTTCGATTCAATCAACAGCTGCATAATTGCCTGTTTGAACTTATGTTCTGCTACATGCTGAGGTTGATCCCTTGCAGAAAACTAATAATATTCATTTTTCAAGAAATTCATTTAAGTTTCCATGTTAGTTGTGCTCTAATGATTGTTCCATTGAAGTTATATTACATATATTTCATTTAATAATTAATAATATGCAACATTGCACTGGCAGTACCTTTTCTTGGTTGTATTTCCCTGTTAGTGGTAATGGTTCTCTCAGTGGCCAGGTCTTCAAGAACTCTCTTTGAGTTTCTTTCCTCATAAAAGTTCTCTCAACTCCTTTTTTGCTTGTTTGTTTAATGTACCTCCCAACTGCTCTTTCGTATTGGAAACACCAATAATTGTCAGGTGATGAAAATCGAATTATATCTTCAGGAACATGAGTCAAAGAATGTAGAGTAATAAGGCATTCAGCAGTTCCATATGACTCTTGTACAAGAATGCAGTACCTCCAGCATAATCTTTTGAAGGAATCTATCATATCTCTTRACCAACCATTTAGTCCACTACTGAAAATATATTCAACTATTCTTGGAAGAGGTGCCCAGACCACCTTGTCAYTGGGATCAATATTGCCTTCCAACACAAACTCTGAAGATGGATATGCAAACTTCTGAAACTCTTCAGCTTAAATAAATAGAGCACAATAAGGTTAGCATAAACCACTAGAGTGATTGCAATATTCCTGTTTCTTTTTCTTGAGATGATGTGTTTACCAATAATACTTATTTCACAATAGACATACTAACTTATATATAAAATATTATTTTGTATCTCTAAAATGATCAAAAGAGCACAATGGAAAGTATGCACAAGATTAAAGTTGAAAAATTGTAACAAACCACTGTGTCAATTAAGATAGTAGTGGCCCATCATCTCAACAATAGGAAACTGGTAGTATAAATTCAACTGTGCTAAGAAAAGTTCCTGTAAGTAGATTATTAATATCAATATTTCAAATCATTCATACAAATAGCATGATTGCTTATTTTATAGAACATATTTTATTTTATTTTATTTTATTTCACTTTAGCTCTTGATAATTATATAACATATACTATGTTTATAATAATAGACTACATGTCATCATAGTAACTATGATGTCATTTACCTTTCCATCTTCCAATCTGAGAGATATCTGCTGGCAATCTTGATTTTCGGTATTCTAATCAAACAAAAATTACCAAATCTCAGTACATAGTTACTATAGGTTGCTCCTTTACAAGCATCTTTTTTAGTTTTAAAAATATTTTAAAAGAAACAAAAAACACAARGGAATGTCTTTATGGTGTATCATTTTCACCTCTTGTCCATGGCATTTTGTCTAAGTTTGTTTGAAGATCCTTTTCATCAACCAATAAATTTGTAAGTACTCTAGCCGTCTCTTGACCAGGTTAAGAGGTACCAGGTGCATAACATCAAATACCAAATCCTGGAGGACATCAAATTTGTAAARTGGATATAAACGGTGTAACTGAGATAATCCTGTGAATCCACTTTCTCTTGAYCTGGTCCCAGCTACAGTTACTCTCTCCTCCTGTTCTATCTCCTCCATTGCAGGTAATTCTTCCATGATTTCTCTTTTTTCTATAGGAAATCGGTAGTTCTTTCTGAAGCCAGGATAATAATAATGTTTTTGTGCTGCAAGGTATTCACCTGGGRGAAAGACAGAAAAGAAGAAAGCAACAGAGTGTAAAAGGGTGTGACTGTGTGTGTATGTCTTGTCCACATGAATGATTTAAAGAAGTGACTTTTACCTAACAATTTACAGCGACGRCAAGSATATTTGCCTCCAGATCCCTTGGATTTACAAATTTCACATTGAGCTGGATRATCACCAGTCCATAATAATAACAAAAGACGGATAGTTATTTCACCATAAGGGAAATCTAGCATATCACCTTCATAAGAAACCCTAAATCCTAAAATTAAAGTTGAATAAAGCAATTTTAATTTTAATTTTAATTTTAAAAGACCATCAGATTCAAGTACGTCTATAGTTATACGCAGAGTCAACCTTTCTTTTCAGACAGACAGACATTTATTAGAAACTTAAATGATACAGTTTGTACCTTCAATGAACCCATTTTCCAAATCTGTAACCAGGGGATCAAGGAAGGGATCTAATGAATTGGCTCTCTTGTCAGGCAAAAGGTAGGAAGGAAYAAAACCGRCTGYATARAYCYCTTGTGTATTTGCACGATCAAGCTTAGACATTGTTGCTATTGCTACTTCAATTGCACCTAAGATTTTATGCAAAATAAAGAAAATAYGAAACAATAATAAACAWGATTATTTYAATAATTTTATTGAAATAATTCAAAGTTCAAAAATTACTTTTATCTTACCTGCACTTCTTCTATTTGATCCAAATGGTTGAAAACCATCCCAGTGAGCTGTGAAACATGCCAAGTAATATTTTCATCATCCAAAGTGAAAATAAAATCAGCATAGGATGGCTACCACATGTTATAATCAAGAAACCCATTTCCTAAGTGAATAAATAGTATTACTTACCTATTAATGCAATATTTCTTGGGTCCCCAACAGTATACTTTGGTTGGAACATAAAGGAAGAGTGACATTCTTCGCACATTATCTCTTTCATACCGTCAGGTCTTTCTTGCAATGATTCAATAGTATCACCACTTATGATATTCTTACATGCTTCTGTTCTACATCTCACTGGTAAGCACCATTTTGATTTACTGTCGAAAAACCATGAGAGTTCAGCAAAGCGATCACCATCCCATAGTTCTTTCTTTGTATGCCACCCTTCATCTCTTCCAAGCCAGTGTTCTTTTTCCCTCCAGTGTGCTGTCATTTTATGACACATTGATTTGTCACATACCCAGAGTTTAACTTTTGCTTTTAAACCAAAATAATAATAAGGGATGGTTGGGTTGTTTTCACAGTGTCTGCACACATCATTTTTACTCTCCAATATATCCCACTGGCAGGGATGCTCATCACTCAAGCATATGAAATATTCTTTTGCATCACTGTAACCTAGATCTGAGAGCACCTTCTTAGCTTCATTCCATGTTTTTGGCCACTGTTTCATAACATTTTCATCAAGAGGGTTTATTTGAGCACCTTTGCAGTACATGGCTCGGGCAAAATATAACAAGTCCTCAAAGCTTTTGAGTGATCCTTTCATTTGGTCAAGACATTCAAGGGCATAAAAAATTGCATGAACGATTGCATCCATATTAACATCTCTTTGCACTTCATCTTCATTAATTGATGAGTCATCACCATCTCTTTGCACTTCATCTTCATTAATTGATGAGTCATCATCATTATCACTCATTGGTTGCTCTGCATAATTTAAGGAAGAACAGCTTGGATTCTCAACATACATAAAAGATGCAACAGTAGGATCCTTGCCAATGTTATAAGGTTGAACTTGCTCAGTCAGATTTTGTGTAGTTGTGTCTAAAAAATGTTTAAATTATACGTACATATATTAAGCGTTAATATAATCAATATGATATTTTGACTTTCCACTACTCTTATATTAAGCTGCATCTGTCTATTAGCTATTACCTGAAAAACTTTTACACTAACTAACTTTTTCTTTCTTTCTTATGATTTATCTGTGGAGTCCAATATGGAAAGCGAAAAAAAGATTAAAGCTAGAAAAAGTTTGAGATTCTAGCAGGTTAAGTTATAAAGTTATTAACTTAAGCTTTAAGTTAAGTTAAGCTTACATTATAACTTGTCATGAAAAAAGTGGTCGCTTAAGAGAGATGGTCGCTTACGAGAAAGTTTTGTTTTGAAAAGTTTATATGGGAAACTGAACAAAACGGGAAATTTAAAAGGTGGTCGCTTTCAGGAGATGGTCGCTAAACTAGATTGGTCGTTCAGAAGAGAGTTAAATACCTGAACTGGTCGAACTGGTCACTTCTGGGTTCTCGGATGGTAACTTTCGCTTTTTAGCTTCTAATCTTAGGTGATTTAGCTGCGTTCTCCTAACAACTGCCTTCCCTTTGCAGTTACTACATTGGCAATGTACGTGAATTCCCTTTTTTTCCGAACATTTACAGAGGGACGATGGAAAAGCCACATCACCCTCCTCGCCAACTTCTGCCATTTTGCCCAGTCAGTCTTGCCAGTCTTGTGAATTGTACCTAGAGCCCGCACTTTTGCCATCCAGCGGATGTGAATGCGTGACTGACGTTAGCCGTGAAGACACTCTGAGCTCGAGATTGAGGGACTGTCTGCTCCAGCTTGTCAATGAAATCTTGGAAACAAAACGTATGCAAAAATGCCCTTTTCAAATTTTGGGAATTTGGGAATTTGAATTTTTGAAAACTTTATTCTGGATTGCCTGTGTTATCATGACGGTTAAGAAGGCGCCAAAAATCAACCATTCATAGAACGAGGCGGGAAAACGAACCAATCACAGACCGATTTAGAGGAGC